ACCTTCAAAGGGAAGAAAGCTGCAAAGGTCGCAATGATCAAAGCGCACATTGGCAGCTTGCTGTACAATTCAATGGAGCGTCAACAACCTCGGCAGCCCCCGCTTAGAAATGTGAGGCAACAAGTGACCTCATCACTTTCCGAGGTCAAAACTGACTCGCAAAGTGATGTAGTAGATCGAGTTGTTGGTTCAAGCTTAAGTGAAGAATCCTCACCGGAGACTGATTTTACACCAGAACCCCGCGCAGAAACATCAAAATATGGGCGAAAGCGGAAACGGGTCGAGAGAGACAATTATGTTAGTTGGGAAAAGATAGTTTTTAGATATATAAATTTTTCGATAACTGCAAATAATTTAGATTAATCTTGACTGGTAGCTTTGCTTGTATATACAAAATAGAAGCGACATGGAGTATTTTTTTCCTTGCCAAAAAAACTGTGACCCTCCCCCGGTTGAGAATAAAACAGGTTTGACCCTCCCCAATTTGTAAAAAATTTACTGATGACCCTCCCCTCCGAAGCCCCGGCCCACCCCCCCTCCCCAATAATAAACGTACCTTCCCTTAATACGAGAAAGTCATGCAAAGGTTTTACAAAGGAGTTTAAACTTGAGTAAACGAGCCCCCGGGGGTCTACTAGAGACAGTTTTATACGGGTAGACTCTGTCCCGATGTCCAACCCCCGTAACATTTTATAAGCCATTTTTACAGAAAAGGTACCCCTTATCTTCCATGTAAAAATGGGTACCCAGGGTTCGAAAAAATTTTAGCTTGTCGTTTGGGCAAACAGCTCTTACATTTGCTTGCCCTCCTCAGCCACTTCTTGCTTGCCTTTGTTAATGATTGAGTCAGAGGATGACTTACGTGGACCCAAGTAAGCTTTAAAATTTACTTACCCGGCAGGAAAATCCACTAGTCCCTACTGGACGGGACGTTTTTTGAGCCCTGTACCCCCTATCGAATACTGTAAAATTCCGAAAATAAGACTCGGGGCTTATATTTTCTGAAAGGCCCTTTTTGAGGGGCTTATCTTTGGAGGGGCTTATTAATGGAGGGAAATTTGCGTTTCAAGATTGGACTAGCCTTATAGTTGGAAGTAAATTTACCGTTTTTGCTTTGTTTTACTTTGTATTTGAAGACGATTTTCCAAGTACAAGCCCCCGCGGGGCTTATATTTGGAGGGGCGATTTAACGGAGGACGTTACCCATTTGGGGGGTTTATACATGGAGGGGCTTATTTTCGGAATTTCACGGTACCTCCTTAAGAACACTGCGTCCCTTTTTATACACTTGAAGTACAATCAATGAACGATGATATGGGACTAGGAGAACACAAGAAATTAACCGGTGGAAGAAGAAATTAACCTTTCGATGGAAGGCCTTTTGAAATACCCAAATCACAGATTTCCCTACCCTTTCATATACTTGAAATCCGTACCCTTTTATATATCTGGAGCCTGTAAAAGGTACCCCTTTCGGGCGGAGCCTCCCCGTATAGGAGCACACCCCCTCCCCGGAACGAGCTCATTACGCGAAGGTGAGCAAATTGTTCGCGCGAGCGCAGGTCACACTAGATAAGATCTTCAGACTTGTCAAGACTGCTAAGCAGTTTTTAAGCGTATTAAGTGCGATCTTGGGGATTGGATAGAGTGTTTTCGCTATCACTTTAAATCTCCCGTTGTTCATGGAATCATCACAATATTCTCCATAGTCTCCGGATGTAGAAGCACTGTTGACCGCGCCCTTGGGTAGCCAGGCAGCAGCCGCTCTTGAAAGAAAGCCATCACAGTCAGAAGATCTCTTTTCAGCTCATAATTTCGACATCACTATTAACCTCGACATTCCTGCCCCGGGAACAGGTAAGATGTTGCCTCAGTTTACTTAACGTCTTATTAAGTTTAGGATGTTATTCTTTCATTGCATGGCGACTCCGCAAATTTCCCTTTCGAACGAAAAGGGACGAAAATGGTGCAACTGTAAATTTGTGGCTTACTGTTTTTCTTTTTGTACTCGAATAAACGTCCCACAAAGCAGCCGTAACATTTACTTTTGACCGAAAAGAGTTTTACCGTCGAACGTGAAGTTAAGACAGTTTATTTATGCATTGAATTGCAGTAGTAGCAAGGAGTCCAACATTGTTAATAATATTGTGACAAAATATAGCCTGCGTGGCAGGCGTTTGAAAGGGAAGGGAAAGGGAGTTTTAGGTGCGAGAGAAACGCGAGAGGCGCCCCAGCGCGTTTCCCTCGCGCCCAAAACCCCCTTTCCCTTCCCTTTCAAACGCCTGCCACGCAGGCTAGACAAAATATCTCAGTTACATCAGAGTTTTCCCGTTCGCTGCCATTCTTAAGACACTTGGAAAATGTTTGACCTGTTATTGAGAGTGTTTCTAATACAAAGAGAGACGATTGCAACCCAGGGTCGAGCTCGGACCTCGAACCCAGACCTTTCGTATCCTATTCTCTCCCTTACCACTACACTATCACACAGACCGGCGAAAATTCTGAAAAAATTAAGTATATAAACTAGCAAACTGTCCTTCTTAGCTGATACATCAATAAAAGGTGACCGTAGACCTTTCCATAACTTTTAATGTAAATTCAACTTGGGCTTCAAAAACGGCATAGTTGGCGGGTATCATAACTGTCGCTTTAGCGAAAAGTGCTACAGTTTTCTCATGATTGAGTGTTCTGCCAACAGAATCTCGTCCAGCGGTAGCTACTCCTCGACCTGTGAACACAGAGAGGGACGGAGCGCCAAGACGATCTCTAAACCTTGAAGATTACAAGAAACGGAGAGGGTTGATTTGAGTTAAAAACCTCGGCTGGGTGCAATTAATTCATGCAACAGTCTATCTCGTTTGCGACATGTTCAGTGCAAGGTAGATCGTATATAGGAAAATGTACCTTGTCTCGGCTCGCAGCCAAGACCAGTGAAGTTGTCAATATTTTTTACACAGCGAGCTCCTTTTAAGCAAGGAGCTGAGTGTTCAAATTAAGGAGTGAACCTTTCGTGAATTTTCCCATTAATGAGGAAGAAATTTCGATTACGCCGTGAACTGGCGTTGTAGAGAAACATTGAACAATGATTTTTGACCGTGTTTTATTTGCTCATCTTTTAATGGACCGTTTTGTTTGTAATACTCTCAGCGACGTTGTACAGCGCAATAAAGATAAATTACAAGAACGTACTGTTTTATAGCCTTCATTTCTGTAGCGTTAGTCGGTCACTTGAGTGCATTTTTAGGTTGGACTCATTCGTAATATGCCCGTTTAGCCGGCTACGCGCGTGTGCTGAAATAAATTCACCCGTAGAAAAATGGCAATGTCAAAGTTTATTCTCATGATTAGACAAGCTTTCTGGAGATAAGACTGTTTTTAATCTAAAGTTTTCTTGCATTGTAAAGGTTGGTGTCTCATAGTCCTCACCATCCTGATGTAAGAATCCGAGAGGAAACGTATCTTTCCTTGTAGTGTCAGTGTTACTATGAACTGAGTAAGATATTAGGAAAGAAGCAGTTTAATCTGATATTTGGCTTCTGGCTTAGGCAGATTAAGCACAGACGAAGAAACGTCAAGTACGAATGAGAAAGCGCGCAAGAAGGACTGAATACACTTCTCCGGGTGCTCAGTTTGCCACTCCGCCATTTTAGGCATTTTACTGGTGAACAGTTGCGACATATAGATATTTCGATCTTTTTCGAGCAACAACAATTTGCCGTTTGTCCCCTTTGAAATGGTCGAGGAGTCAGTTACTATGCGTGCGCTAACTAGTTCCTAGAGTCCCACCACTCGTTCCAAAGCGAAGGAGAGGGGACGAGTAAGAAAATACCCTGGGAACAAGATTGATGTGTTCGTTGTTGCCCGTCATATTGTCACAAAACAGCTGCTAAATATGCCAAGTTTGCAGTAGGAGAGAACGAATTGCTGCTACTTCCAGGGGCGTACCTGACTGTAAGCCAGTTAAGCACGGGCTTAAAAGAATTTGGGTGGGGTGGGGGGGTGGGGGGAATTTTAGGCTCACAATTATTTTGACGATGCCAGTGTCGACAGCATCTCCGGAACGATCATTTAATTGTATGTGAAGGGTCAAGACGCCCTTGCGCTCTACTATATTAAATACGAGCAGAGAGCTCCTCTGGGCTCGTGCTTCAACATGCGTACCTAAACCCACGGGGACAAGAGGATCGACACAGACAAGGTGGTGCGGGAGTTCTGCGCCAGGCCTCGGCCTCACATTTTAGAATGCCACGCTAACACAGCTTTCTCTTTGCGTTCATCATGATATTGTATAGAAGTAGGGAAATACAACATTTATGTAAATTAAAGTGGTTGTAACTTAAAGGCCCAACTAAAGTTACTTTACGCCCTGTAAAACCCGGCTCTTGCACCGGACCGGTGTAAATTAATAAGCGTCTATCAGCAACATTCTGGGAGCGGGCTTAAAGCTGGAAAATGCCCAGGAACGGTTGGAACTAAACCAAAGATGTGTTGCTTTTAGTGCCACCTGCTAACATGTTCACACAGTAGCACAAGGTACCTGTCGGTTTATGTTGCCGATTCCGGCTTATTAATAAGCAAAGTAAATATCCAGGCTGATTAATTTACATGAACAACACGTAAATCTGCAAGCAGAGTGACTCATCGAATACCAAGTTTATTTTGCGGCTGTTACACTTTTAAAAAAGACGACGTTGATTTTATTGGAAGCAAAGCATGCCTTCAAACGGCTGCCATGTCAGGGATATACAGAAGGACATCAACCGAGTTAAACCCAACCAAACCTACTTGTTTGTGGATAGAAGCTTTCAAGAATCAATCATCGAATATTTCCAGTTTTTACACAGAGAAGGGATTCTCTGCGATGTAACGCTGAGAATCGGAACTCACAAATTTCCTTGTCATCGTAACATTTTGGGAGTAGCTAGCCCTTATTTTCGCTCGCTTTTTATAGACAGTGAAAGTGGAAGGTTCATAAAACACGTCGAGCTACCACAAGAAATTCATCATTCAACAATGGAAGCTGTCTTGGAATATATGTACGGAGGGAAAATTTTCTTAAATGCAAGTAACGCTATTGACATTTTTAAGGGCGCTTGTTTCTTTAAACTTCAAAGCTTGTTGGAGGAATGTTCTCACGTACTAGTCAAGTTCCTAACTCCTGAGAATTGCCTCCAAGTAAGGGACGTTTCGTTAATTAATGGACAAGAAAAACTACATCAGCTATGTCAGAGATATTTGTGCGAAAACTTCGTACAGATTGCGAACTCAATGTCTTTTTTGGAACTTCACCAAGATGAGCTTGAGAAAATGTTGTCAAACAATGACATTTGCGTCGACAGTGAGCAACAGGTGATTATGCAATTAAAATAGTTTCTGTATTCTAACAGCTATTATTAAAAACTGAATCATTGGATAAGGCATTTCTAGCTAGAGCTCAGATTGGCTTAGCCATCATACCATGCTCTAGTTCCAAATATGGAAACTGTACGTGTCTGCTCAAAATTAAAAACAAGCTGAAATCGGTTGTTTTTACAAATAACGCCGGGAAGAATTTTTGATATTTTGTGGGCGTTTTTATAAAACAATTATTCCGCTAGCGCTTCTTGGATATCCAACACGCGCTCGTGGAATAATTGTTAATTAAACGTCATAGTAAGTTCTAAGAGTAAGACTACTGGTTTAATTTTTGTCCAAGTATGGTACGGTTTGGGGTATAAGGGAGTCCAAGATAGTCCTGGATTCTCGATTCCACTCCCTATTGGATTCCGGATTCCAGATACTGGATTCCAGTAATAACTTCCGACGCGTCTCATCAAGGGATTTCTTTTTGCCTTTTCAGACTTTATCTGCACCCAGGGCACACTTGCCTTCTATATATATATATATTATATCTCAATGAAAATTCCTTTTAAATTCATAGATTTTTTCGCAGGGGGGTGGCGGCGGTTTTTTCGGGCTCACCCCCTAAATCCATCCCATGGCTGTTTTTAGAAAGTCGGATGAAATGGTTCCAATTGTGCCATCCCAAAACCCAGGCTCTCCTATGGAGGAACATCAGTTGACCAAGGGTCAGAAAGGTGTAATCCTGGGATGATAGGTATCACGAATCGTTCCAAATCAGTTTAGAATCCTTGTAAAACAATTATTTTATCCGTTGTAGGTATTCGACAGCCTGGTGAGATGGACTGAATATGATCGCAAAGAGCGCGGGATCCACTTCTCCAAATTACTGCAACATGTTCGGCTGCCGTTACTGTCCACCGGCATAATTATGGAGCATGTACAGCGACAGGAATTAGTGCATCGCTCGCCCACAGCAAAGGAAATGGTTCTGGAGGCCATGAGGTATAACACAGCGGAAGAAGAACAGAAAAAATCCATGAGTAGTCCAAGGACGGTGCCAAGAACATGTTCGACTTTAGTGCAAGTGATTCTGTTTGTTGGTGGTAAGGGCAAGACCCCCGATGAAGGGCGCATCACGTTTTGTTATCTTCCTGAAGAAGATCGTTGGTATTCACTAGCACCTTTACGGTGAGAAAGAAAAAACTTGAAAGGGGTCTTTCTAGCTGCAGGTACCCTCATCACAAAAGAAAGAAAGGAACCAAACAATAAATTTCTCCTGGAGGCTTTATTGTTTGGTTGTATTGTTTCTTTTGTTGTACGTAATCTGTGCCTCGGTACCTACAAAAGGAACCAGATTGATGACTGTCGGCTATAACCATTCTCGTTAGATACCAATTTCCTTACTTATTAACTGGCGCGATGGGCGGCGACAAGAAAAGTCGAATGTTATTTATATCTTTACAATGGGTCTTGAACTCTGGTTAAGATAACGGATCCTGTTCGCGTTTAACTGCAAAACAGCCTACTCTCCTCGCTCTTCCCGAGGGACGTCCCGCAAAACTCGCCCCCGTAGCGGTGAGGAGCGAGGAGACACGGCTTTATTCGCAGGCTAATTAGCCTTCAAAGCGGCAATAATTCAATCTGTGTCCATTTTTGCGCCTCTATATTTAAAGTGTTTTTTTCCAGATTTTCTCAATATCTGAGTCTCTAAATCCTACAGTTTTATTCATGTTTCACCTAATATGTGTTAGCTCAATCTCACTTGAAACTTTTAAAACCAAAAAAGAATCATTCTAAAAACAAAGTCTACCTTCTTTGAGGGGGGCGGAGGTGGAAACAGAGAGCGAGACTGAGGAGAGGGTCAGTGAGGCTCGCCCCCTTTGCGCGAGAATCCCACGCAGGTGCTTCGCGCTTTGAAAACCCGCTTTGGGAGAAAAAGAAAAACAGTGTTTTCCAGACTATATCAAGAATTTGTTTTCCTCATTGAATGTTACTTAATCCGTTTAGGACAAATGTAGTGCTGTAAAGATATGCTAAACAATTTCCGCCACTTTTATAGAACGCAGTTGTGCGATCACTCTGTTGCGGTAGTTGATGGATCGGTTTACGCGACTGCTGGGTCCGAGGAAGGTAAGGCCTCTCTTCTGTTTCAAGATCATGTGCAGTGCTTTAATCTGCAATCAAATATCTGGAGCCTTGTGGCCCCTGTTCAGGAAGCGAGGGCCAAAGCTGCCGCCGTTGAACATGATGGGCTGTTATATGTCTCTGGTAAGGGAGGATACCTGTAGATGAAATTCTGTAGGAATAGGCATGTGCCTAGGAGTTTAATCTATCACCTCCTTTTAGCAGTTGATTAGAGTTTGAGATGCAAAGATAAGGAACTGATGACGTAAAAAAATCTTTACCCGGGTGAAATTATTTCAAGAAAGTTTGAAGAAAGAATGTATGAAATTATATTAATTGTTTTTCTCAGTGACGGGAACAAAAAACAGAAAGTGTCCGCTCCGCTAGTGGAAATTGCCTCGCTCATCTTGTTACAATTAGAGAGGACAATGTTAGGCGGAAGAGATCAAACAGTGAAATTGTATTCTAATGAAAGAGGAGGGGAGGGGGGTTCGATGGTCCATCGACTAACGAACTACAAAGGGTTGGCATTTGGAGAGCGTGGTTTCTCTCGAATGTTTAGTCCTATAGCACCGCGGCTAAAAATAACCGGTACGGTAAACGAACAGTTAAATTGCCTGCGAAAACTTCCATTTCTGCTCGCTCTTCGCCGCTAGGGACGTTTCGACGTTTCTCCGCGCGAAACGTCCCCAGCGGCGAAGAGCGAGGAGAAACGGATGTTTTCGCAGGCTACAGTTAATTGAGTTTTTTAGAAAACTGAATATTTTGAAGATGCTGTCAAACTAACGCCTAAAGTATAACATTGCGATCAGGAGCCGAGCCCCTGATTGCAATCAATTAAAGGATTACGCTATATTGAAACATTTCGTCCATCTTACCTAGGTGGCATGATGAATGGTTCCCATAGCAACTCGTTTGAAGTATACAATCCAGTCAACAACAAATGGAAGTTTCTCTCGCCTCCCACAATCCAGCGAACTCGTCACGCTATGGTTGCTACGCAAACACACATTTACGTTATCGGTGGAGAAGGCCAGGGTATAGAGCCGGAAGTCAGCATGGAGCGATATGATCCAGAGGTAGACCTCTGGAGCTTTGTATTACCGATGAATTGTGGAAAAGTTGGTGCATGCGCTGTAGAACTGGAGGGAAAAATTTACGTCATAGGCGGAAATAATGGATACAATACACTCCGGCAGTGTGAGGTTTATGATGTACAAACCCACCAGTGGAGCTTGACTAAAGGTGTTTAAAAAAATGACATGTTTTACTTACTAGGCTCATACTGAGTAATCATTTGAGTCATGGAGTGTACTGACGAGTAAAGCAGTTCATTCAAACATGTTAGAAACCTTTAGATTGCACTGCGAGGACGAGATTTTTAAAGTTTTTTTGCTTATTCTCAAAAATATACACCCCGGACTAAGCTTTGTTTTGCTTTTTTCACCAGAGGATCGAAAGGTTATTTTTCATTGAAGGAGGTTAATCCTTCTCTCTATTGCAAAATGACAAAACATATCACTTTAATTTGGACAACATTTTCCGGTTACTTCAACAATTTCACTGGAACCTGTAGAAGAATGACAACAGTAAAAGCGCGCGCTCAACTTAGAATTAAAATCTCATTCTCGTTGTCGTACTCGTCTCAGAATCTAAAGGTCGCTTTTGTTCGGGCTAGCGACCGCTCAGTATTTCCTGCAGTCGCTGAGGAATATTAGGTAAAGCAGAAAGTGAAATCGATGGGGTGGTATATAAGACGAAAGGCTGATTTCCATATCACAACTTGTGTAAACCTGTTAGTAATGTTTAAATACAAGACACGATTTTCGACGACGATTTTTAAGAGCAACAATGTTGGAACAATCTTAAAACAAATCGAAAAACTATCGTTAAACTTATAAAGATGCAACACTGTGTTGCTCTGAAAATCGTCGTTGCAAATCGTCTCGTGTGATATCGCCCTCAAGATTCTATTTTTGGCAAACTAATTTGGCAAGATGGGTAATATTTTCGAGGCTCGGGCTGTGACATTCACAACAATTGGGCTTATAAATCTAAAATATTAATGAGATGAGTTGCGTATAGCTTTTTCGTCCAGATCACTGATTTATATTGTTGCTTTATTTCTAGGAATGAAAGAGTTTCGTCAAGATGCCCAGGCCGTCGTTATTGGCAAGAAAATTTACGTCATCGGCGGCCGAGACTATAAGGGAGAGAGGGTTCTAGATTCCATGGAGTGCTTTGATGTATCAGAGGGGGAGTGGGAACAAGTTACGACTGTGCCATTAGCAAGAGAAGGCTTTCGTTGTGTTTCTTGTAAAATAAGTCGAAATCACCTCCTTCCGATAAAGCTCAGATAACCTTTATCACATCCTTTCCAATTTCTATATGAGCTGTAATAGAAACAGGGTAGCCATTGCTATGCTTTATCCTGACAGTTCAAGAAACCAAAATAGATCGAACATATCCAAATTCTTTCAATTTCAGCTTGACGGATACAATTTTCTCAGGGGAGACAAGGTATAAGGGGCCGACCATTTGACTTTTGAGGGGAAGTATGGGTGAGTTGTGAAAAAAATATCCTGCAGATCACACTTGATTTCGAGGGGAAAAATTATTGCAAGGTGGCGGCGGAATAGCTGTATTTGTCCGGGACAACATATCATCTTTGCAGTGCGCAGGAAAAAATCTGGACATCTCTGTATTTCCCTATATCTTATTATAACTCTATGATCAATGGGGTTGATTATATGAGCCAGGATGGCTCGCCTTTCCACGATCCCGGCAAGCTAATTAAAAGCAACAAAAACCAGTCTTGTGATCACAGGGCAACCCATCGAGCCCATCCTGGTGGCGTAATACCGCGATAATAATCACCTTTAATACTAAGATGGTTATAAGGAACTCTTTCATGAAATTATCAAAATTCAAACATTAATAGCTGCCGGGCCAATTTGAGAAAAACATGAAAATAGCCACTCAAAACATCATAGAAGAGGGTATGAATAACACAGGAAAAAAATACAAATTGAAGGCACGGTGTGACGGAAGGTTTTTCCACTTTCGAACGATTTTAACACTCAACGGGAACTCGACGCTTTAACTATCGGTTAACTGGGGGAAACTAGACTCAATTGCAACTCGCTTGCGGGAAAGAGCCGTCACTTCTCTTGAGGTCCGAGATCAAACCACTAACTGGTACAGCAAAGGCAAACTGAACTTTGGTTCCAACAGCGTTTATTCTTGTACACGCAGCGTAACTTAGCTCACAAATGTAATCGGCGATGTAATGGAAAAATCAGTTCAAAGCAACTTACTTATATATGATTTTTACAACCATTGAAGACAAAAGAATACAATAGAAACAGAAACAGAAATCACTTAGAGTTAAATAAAAACTAAATGCAAATTCTATTTTTAACCTGAAATCCAGGTCAGCAAAACAGCGTTTATGTACAAAGTGTTACAATATGAATTAAATTGCAAGTTGAGCTATCGGTTTTTTAAACAGGAAAAAGCGCAGGCTAATTGGAAGTTTTCACCTTAAACAAAGACCGATCTAATTTTAAAATTGCAAGACCACAGAACCTTTCATATTCAAAATTCGGTTATAAGCCTCGCCCGTCCCGTTGTTTCCGATTCTTAGCCAGGGACCTTTACTCCAGCTTGTCTCTCTTAACCAATGTGTATAAATTAAATGGGTACCAGCGACATACTGCTGGGTGGTAACACTGCGATGGAAAAGCATCCCCTTCAGGGGTGGTAGCAATATTCCTAGGCATGCTTCATTCTAAGGAAACGTGGATAAGCTCCGGCCGTTTTGACCTTTGGCTCGTGTGCGCCTTTACCTTTCCTTTTTTAAACAGTTTTCAAAGTTCATTTAAATGTGTTTGTAACGTTTGATATAATGCTTGGGAGACATCTTTATTTGACACAAAGCTATGATTTTGTCATTCACAAGTATTTAAAATTTCTAAAGTTCCATGCTAATAAGGGCGCGTAAATGGCATTCACTGATATAAACAAAATGAACTAAGCTCGGAACACCGGGGCCAGCCTGACTCATAAAATCAGCACCTGTACTCTGTAAGTTAAGTTTTCACTTATGGTGCAGTACAGCCATACAGTTCAACTCGCATGGATATATGGCCATGCCACGTCATGGCAACAAATCGCACGTATCTTGCCCGGAACCTTGGAGTTAGTGCGTGTGACACGATGGTGTGACGGTCAGAATTTGCAGCGAAAACCTGAAAAATAATGATAATAATAGATTAAAATAATAACACATTCCGATCGGCAAAAAAGTAGTAGAAATAACCCCGAAGCGTCTAGTAGATTGTTCAAAATTTATGATAAATAATTAGCAGGGGATGCATTTTCTTAAAACCCAAACAATCAAGAAAAGCCGTGTGAAACAAGGGACAGAACATTTGAATTTATATACCCTCATTTTATTACCGTCAGTTTGTTGATAATACGGTAACTGAGCTTCCAGCTGATATCCACCTTTTCAGATCAAGCCGTGGATGGCAACCACAACCATTGTACTATTAGATTATTTTCCAACTAGATCAAGAAAATACGAAACTTGTTTGCGAGATTTCTAAGTCGAAATTTTTTACTTGTTCGTAGAACCCTGTAAGTAGCCATTCTTCTCCTATTGATTTTGCTTGTGGCCTCGACCATCCCGGTATTAGAATCGTGTTAAGAAATAAAATCACGATCACATACCTTTACAGCATTATTTTCCTTGTATGACTCCCAGTTGACGCTGTCCGAACCGAACAAAATGTTGTAGGACTTCACCCATTGGTCCTTGGAGGGCCTCCCCTGTGTGGAGAGGTTTGTTAGCAGCCTCTCCTCCCCGAGATCAACTTGTAACCACTCGCCGGCTTTGTTAAATTTCGTTGACCAGGAGCCCGTGTTGCCATGTTTTGGAACATTATTGAGCCGGGCTAGCCAAGGGTGGTGTCCAGGGTGCCTCGTCCATACAGAGGAGGCTGTAATAGCTGAATTCGGCAATGCGTTACTTTCCATCCCAAGTGCATGAATACTGCATACTGTGAAAAGGAAGAAAAAGAAAACAGGTTTAAAAGCCTTTTAGAAGCTAATTATATTTGATTGCTTTACTTTTACTTATACGTAACAAGGAAGGTCAAAGTAGGATCAAGTAGTAACCAAACTCACCTTCGCACTTCGATAGAGAACAAATCAAATTTTTGCCGCAGTCTGAGTCTTTGTTGCAGGTGAGAGGTCTGAGAGTATTCTCCATGTAGTTTGTAAGTGGAACTTGTCTCATATCTTCAGGGTGGGAAGCGTGCGTTTTATCATTCAGTTCACACCATTTGCCTATCCGATAAAAGTTGCTGCTATGGCAACCAGTATGTTCGATGCACCGAGAGATGCAGTGTTCAATCAGCTCTGCAGGCCCGGCCTTGATGGCGTGGTTTATAAGCACGTGATCTTGAACGGAGTAAGAAGCTGCCTTACATTGTCTTGCTATAGCCATCTTGGAGAAAGAGCAGATGAGCATGTGCAGAAGGATACTGTTGAACTTCATTTCTGTCAAGAAAAAGAATTTCTTAATTCATAGTGCAAGTTACCCTTGTTAATGTAAGTGAATTCATTGTTTTTTAGTGAACATCGTAGAAAAGGAGGAGATGAATGGATGTAATAAATTAATGAGACAGTAAATTTGTAAGAAAAAAAAATTTTTTAAATTAGAAAGAAGTTTCTCCCCTTATTACTATTATTATACATTCTTCTCACCCCCCCCCCCCCCCCTGGTGGGGGTAGGAAGTTATTTGGGTTAATTTTTGCTGGGTATGTGCCGCTGGCCTCTCCTAGCCCCTACCCCATTATAGTCTATTCTGTAACCAAATATAGGCGCCATCTTTTGGGAAAATGTAATTTTCCTGATCCCAACTTAGTAACTTCTTGATTATGCATCTTCTTTATAAGACCTTTTAACAAGGTCATCCTGAAGTGAAACTTAATGAAGTAAACTTCTTCCCATTCTTAAATCCCTACCTACCTGAATTTTCTGATCCCCCAAATCCGAAAAAATGTGCGGTCCCATTCTAGTAACTCTAATGAAAATGCATCCTCTTTATAGTCAATCAAGCCGTGAAATGCGACTTCATCCAGCGGCACATCCCCATTAGCCTTTTACTTCGAGATACCCCCCCCCCCCGGGGGCTTTGACCAATCATGACCTCTGAGCTTGCGCAAGGGAAGACTACTCGTCAGAATTATGTGTACTACACTGTAGTAGCGTTCCACCCCATGCACATCATGTTGAATTCACTTTGTATTTTAGGCATCAAGCATGCAAGCTAAATTTTTAAAAAAGTCCCTCGTCCGATTTAATATGACGCGGGATAAAGATGAAGACCTCTATTTTGCTCGGCCGCTTCTATTCGCGGCCTATATAAAAGCCCGCTCCGCTCGCTTAGAAGCTCGTGAGGTCGAATTGTGGCAAGTCTACATGCAAGCCGCTACCGTATTAGAGCGAAATTCAACAAGAATTGAACAACTTAGCAAAGCAAATTGGAGCTCCTTTTGACAGACAAACTGATACTCAGGTGTCAAATTTCTGGTAGAATTCAGAATAGCTATTTGTCATGGAGAAAGAATGATAAGCCAGAGCAAAGAATGGGCCTGTGAAAGGCATCTTTGTGATCTGCAAATTTTATCAACGGAGTTGATCAAGGTGCAGGCTCGATACAGTTTTTCAGGGTCAACACCTCCCAAGTTTTGAGTATAAATTACGTCGCCATAAACAAAGATTTGAAAAAATTGCCACCACAGTTGTATTACATAGGAATAATAATTTATATATTTCATGCTGCTTCAAGGTCTTGCCAGAGTGATGAATACAAGGTCCTGCGGCCCTAGGCAAGGAGTGGGCAAGATTCAAGGTTTTGCTGGCTAAGGGTGTCACTTGATTTCCACTGTCGCGTATTTTTTACGTGCGTAAATAAAAAAACCATATATTTGAAAGGTCGCTCGTTACGTAAAATTTGAGGGAGCTCCAACTTTTGCACTTACGTGCGACCTTCCATACATTGCCTCCATTTCAATAACGCACCTAAAAATTACACGATAGTGGAAATCCACCTTTACTTGAGTTTCCTCTTATTCAGGTTGAAAATTAGGCCATTTTGAGACTCTGACCAAACATTAACTGATTATTCTCGGCTTACTTTTCTCGAAAATAAAACAAGCCTTTCTGCAAAAACAGTTAACATCAGATTACTTCTCTACCTAAATCTTTGGACAAAAAACGAAATAGATCAGTTTTTTAACTCTTGCCCGGCACTGGATCGATGCTCGAAATTTCCTAACCGTCGCTCTTAAGTTAGGTATTCTAATCAGTTACGATTCTGTGAACGATATAAAATGTAAAACCGTTTCAGTGGCAAAAATGGTACAGTCTTTGAGCCAGATTAAGTATCACGGCTTTTTTAACTGGGGTTAGCATTTTAGCCGAGAGTTGTTTTGATGGATTTGAAAACTCATTTTACAGGCTCCACTACTCCACATCATATTCTGATTATTGCCTAACGCTCAACTTACCACTGGGGAAATATAGAATGATGAGCTATGATGTTGCCTTTTAGTGTCTTGCTTTTGCGATGTTCCAACTACCCTTTTCTATCGCAAATTGTAGTACACTCTTTCAACATACTGTCTTAAAACTCAAGCAACTGAAGATCAATTATTAATAGGATAATAACAGGTTGTTTATTTTCTAAACATCCATTACCCCCACACAGTTGGTAATTAAGAACATTTGAGTGTAACACTTAATTTAGGTGGCTGAACACAGTTCTCTGGAAATGTTTTATCCGTTTACTGATAATCACTTCTGTCATGAGGAGATACGCAGCAAACAATATTGAACCTTGAAAGAAACAAGAGCAAGGACAAGCTGAGAAATATTCCATTTTCGTCAACTTCGGCAGCAATGTGAGAGCGCTCGTTTTGTTGACTTTTAAAGGCGATGTAAACAGGCAACATGATCATAAAATCTACTCGTTAAAATTTGACGAAATATGGCAGAAACTCTGTTGATATCGCTCTTCCGTCAATGAAAGCCTCAAAATAATTTAAAGTTGACAAATGGGGTTTTGTGACAAAATCAAGTTTCTTCATGATTAATCTTACAAATTCTAAGTAAAATTGGCTCAGTTGTTTTTAAATGATGACTGTTACTAATTCTAAGTTATGTGCAAATCTATAAGGAAAACTGATCAGATGACTGGATTCTGCCTCAGACTGAAAACATAAATTTAAAATTTTAGGCTTGTTTTAAATCATCCAGGTTCCCCTGGCATCGATAGAAACCCTGGCTACGTTTAACCTAAAAAATGTTATGTCTCATAAATGAAATTATTTTGTCTGTGCCAAATCTGAGCTTTACACCTGCAACGACTATTGAATAACACGAATGAATAGCAACTTTTCACTACCTATCAAACTGTGTTCAGCGACCTTATAAAAGTAGTGGTAAAAAATAAGTTTGTGGAGAAAATTGTGAATATTTTTTTTAGAGCACAGTAAGGCCCCGCCAAAATTTAACCACCCATTTTGAAACGATGTGACTTATAGTGACGAGTACGTGCTGTATGCGGATTTACTGCCCGTATGCGATGGAATCTGTAGAAACACAACGACGGTTTTTCCGTCAGTCTGTAATGCGAAAAATAAAAGCTTCGAAAATCGTTGGCAAGTTTAGTAGAAAAACTCCTTGTATCTTTGACGAATGGAAAGCTTATCTCGAAATTAATTTTTTTTAGCTTTTCTCTAATTTCAGACTGATTTGTTAATATTTGTTCCTTCGCACAGTGTCGAAAAAAGTCTTTGGGTGTCCCCAATAAATATAATGGAAATACAACGGAGCTCAGGTTATTTAAGTTCAAGAGCCGATGAAGAGCTGAGTTATCTATTCCTTGGCACAGAAAATATAAGCGCGAACATAATCAACAATATTTTGGTGTTATTTTTCATTCTATCGTATTCACGCAGATGATTTATTTATTGTTGCTTTGAACGCTATGTGTTACTTCGTTTTTTCCTTCTCAAGGTCATTAATCACGAAGAAAAAACTGAATTAAAAAATATACCGAGTATCTTGTTTCATATGTTTCAGATATGGTTTTAATTCAAGAACGAAGTGTCTCAGTTTCTGCTAAATTGTAGATAGTAAATATCTCATTATGCACTCCTCTCTGAGCGTCTTTCATGGATAATTTACAACACTGGCGGGGGGACATTTACCAGACTGCTTATGGTGCTGTTTACAGGTAAGAAAAAAATGAGTAATGATGCCTTCTAGGTGAGGGCGAATTTGAGATTGACCTTCACATTGGGGAATACGTCCGCTACTCTCTTTACGAACAGTGTGTGGGCTCTTTAACGTCCCACAAATTTGAATTAGAGCGCCCCTACCAAACGTCCCATGTTAATTAAACGCCCCGGCTAATAAATTTTTCCAAAATACTAGGAATAGGGGAATTGAGCAAAATAATTATTTGATTCATCCTCATACCTCTGGGATGGAAATAACGAACCGTGCTCGGTTTTGTGTGATCTAGACCAGCTACTGAAAATCCAACACTAGGAACTTAAAGTTTGGTGTTTAGCAAACAATCTCCGTAAGAAGTAAAAAATTCTGTATGTTTGAATTCGACTAAAACGAAAATATATTTCAAACCTTAAATTTTACAATAGCCGTGATAGATTATTTAATAAAAACGTTATAAATGACTCAGATTATTCTTAAGTAGCGTCAGAATGCTGCTGAATATCATATTTCGATGCCAGGAAATGTTGGTGTATTTTCGTTCTTGCGATCTTGAAAACTAACCCGTTTCGTTTTCTCACCACCTGTATAAGTGCATTTTCATTTACAATTTGGACTTTTAGTGCTTTTTAGTAGATCTCTGAAACGACTCGAACGAATTTCTTTAAAGTCTCTCCACTTAATGATCTTCATAATGTATTTAATAAGGTCTGAAACTTTCATTGAGATTAATCACTCACTGCAACATCTTAAAATTTCAAGACAAACCTATCCCACGAACCTGTCAAAAATCTGCATTACAACATTCACTGTTTTGACGTTATGCTAATTTTTCCAAAATAATGCGCACTATACATACCTCCATGACTAGTACATTTTGGTTTGAATTTATCGCATCTTTTAAATGTAAAACATTGACAATCTCACACTGAAATGTACTAGTCATGAATATACGGTCTGCATTAATCTGGGAAAATTAGCATAACGTCAAAACAGTGTAACGCGGAATTTTGACCGGTTCGTAGGATAGGTTTAGGGGTGGCGAATGGTAAAATCCGAGACTCGCCGAGACGCCGAGATCCTAGTTAGAAATCCGAGCCCGAGACTCTTTGGTAAAAAGTCTCGAGACTCAAAAAAAGTAAAAACAAACCATGCAAAAACGAGACTTTGAGACTTATCAAAAACGCTTCCGAGATTTCGAGATCCTGCCAAAATTTTCCGAGACCCACGTTTTTCGAGGTACCATTCGCCAC